TGTGGTTGGGCTGACATGGGGATTTGAGCTGCAGAGCCACTGGGGCAGCTCAGGTCTTTAGTGTCTGACCTGGATTTCTCTGGGAAGCAGAGGGCAGCCAGAAATAACCTAGTTTTGGGGATGCAGCAGGACTTGCTAATGGAGAGAAGATGGAGACCTGCTCTTTCTGGAGGTGTGCAACAAAAAAAGATGAGGCAATGGGCCTGAGGAAAAATCCAGTGGGACAGAAGTTTGTTTTTTTTTGTTTTAATTAAAAAAAAAAAAAAAAGAAAATCACAGTGAGAGTGATCATAGACCAGAACAGGAATTGCAGGGAGCTGAGGGAATCTCCATCCTTGGAGAACTTCCAAACTTGACGGGAAATTGTCCTCACCAACCTCACCCAGCTATGGGGCTGACATTTCTGACCCATGTTAAGGTTAGGCTCTGATCTTGAGCCCTCCTCTGACCTGCAATGTCTGCAGGGATCCCAGGAAGCACCTCCAATCACCACAGATCAAGATGATTGAAGTTTAGCACTTTTGAAAGCCACAGAAATACAGGCTTCTGCACCACCCCATCCATAGGTAGGAAAGCAATTCCCCAGATCCTAAGACTGTGGCAGCCTCACTCCAGTGGTTTTGCAGTGTTCTGTTGGTGGAAGACATCATCCTCTTGCCACCCCTGCAGCGCCACTTCACTTCCCAGCCTCCACTAATGACCAGAGCTCCATTAATGTCTGCCTGAGCCCTGGCTGGGTTTCAAATGGATCCAGGAGTGCTAGCCAGGAGCTAATTGTGCTCACTGGAAAGCCTTCAATCATTAGCAATAGGGGTGAGAAGTGGCTGGGACCAGCAACCAGCGAGTCTTGCTCAGCGGTTGGACAAGAAGATAAAGAGCATCTCCAGGTGATAGCATCCCCTGTGTGATGCTGACAACCCTGTGCTCCCTGGGGCTTGTGGCTTTCTGCACAAACCCCTCATGCATACATTCTGACACCCCGGGGTGGGTATCAGCCCAGCTGCCCAGAGGACCTGCAAGGGCTCCTGCACACATGTGCCAAGATCTGCCCATGCACAGTGACCATGGGCAGCACAAAGCAGCAGAGAAGTCACTCCCAGGACAAAGAAAGGGTGTTTCCCAGCTCTATATACTGTTGCAGAGTGGCACATCGTTGAACACAAAGCCTGCTGAAAAGGTTTTCTTAGAAAATTCTCATGCAGGTCCATCAGCGCGGAGTTTCTGAAGCTATTCAAGGTTTTTGGTTCTTTTTGTAGCAGGTTTTTTTTTTTTTTTTTAAATGAAAAAATAGCTGTCTGTGATCTTCATGGGAGAAGCAATCAGACCAGGGAAGGAGCATCTGGTCCCACCATGGGCATTCAGGTGCCAGCAGGACACCAGCTGAGCCCTTCGTGCACTTCCAACCCCCAGACCCATTCCAACTCTGGAAAACCCCACTCTTATGCAAGGCTTCAGAAGGGGAGTTCTGCCTAGGGCTGTGCCCCGTGTGCCACCACAGGTGGACAGTGTGAAAAAGTGGCTGCCCTGTGCCAGAGATGGAGGCAGAAAGATCTTATCTGAAGAGATCCAGGCATGGGGACATCCAGCTGGGTCACTGTCACCATGCCTACATCCCACACCAATTGGACAGCCCAGGCCAGTTCCACCCCATCCTTTGTGGATTGGGTGCAGGGAGAGAAGGAAGCTCAGAGGAGCTTTCCTCTTAATTATTGATGCGGAGATTTCAGCTGATGGAACTGGGGCTCTCAGAGGCTGAATCCTAATGGAGCCTTCTGGCATGCCTGGCCAGTAAGCACTCCTGGGCCCTGCACAATTCCCACCTCTCCCATCTCCGAGCAATAAAAGTGCCACCTTCTCCTGCTAATGATGCATTATGCAGCCATTACCCAGAGTTCATAGACCTGCTGCCACCAGGCAAAGGTAATGCTAATGTAGGAAGGGCAGCTGTGTTCTCCATCACACACTGATGGGGGTTACTAAGCCAGCAATTCTAAACAGAGAAAGGGAAGAATTTGACATGGAGGGGCACTGGGACCAACAGCACCCCTGTAGGCCAGCCAGCATCGTGCTGTGCTGATTGCCTGCACAACATCTCCACCTGCAAAGTCATCGTGCCGTGGGTGATGGATGGAGTCATCAGTGAGAGATGAGTCAGGAGTGACAAAGTCAGTGGTTGGACACTGTGCAGCAGAGCATCTTAAATGCATCAGGAGTGCCTGCCAGCCTGCTGGCTATTCTGGTTGCCCCTTTACAGCTCTGGACACGGCCTCCTGGGATTTTCAGCCACTCTTTTCCACGTGGACATCCCACAAGCTGGGTAGGAAAGGAAAGCCCTAGTGTGTGCACAGCTCAAGGTGCCATCTAACTGCAGAGGGGGTTCATGAGGACCACAGTGTTATGGCAAGGCTTAGAGGTGATCTTATAGGGTCCTGTGTGTCATTCCCATGCCCAGTTTTTCTATTGTCCATCCAACAGAGAGAAATGCAAACACCTGTCCATGTGCTCATTCATCCCCCACAGCCTTTTATCCTCACGCCTCCATTTAGTGCCCTGTTCTCATGCTGAAGCTCCATCCATCCATTTAGTGCCCATCCTTCCCCATCGCCACCCAACTATTCTTTGCCCATTGAATACTCATACCTATTTGGGAGAGAAGGATCAAAACTGGGGTGGTTTTGGCTCCTCCTACAAAGACAATACTAAACCTCGTAGTGCCTGTGCTGGTGGTCCTATAGCAGTTAGAGAAGTGCAGAAAGGTTTTTTTACAGGAAGGCAGAAGGCACACTGTTGGATAGGATCTGTACCCCCACTTTCTTCAGAGGGAAGGAGCACCCTCAGAAGCATCTTCAGAAGCACCTGCATGGGCAGATGTCCCCTGTACCTGAGTCCTCCCTCAGCAGGCTCCCAGGCCAGGTGGTTGAGTTTTCTCCAGGCCTTTATAAAGTCACTGAGCTGGCAGAGACATCCCTGCTTTCATCTCAGCAGCTGGCACTCAGCACAAGCCCCTGAGTGCCTGCCTGGTCAGTGCCAGTGCCTGGAAGTGCCTGCAGCACAAGGGTTGGGTGCTGCATCAGGATCGTGCAGCCTGCTGGACCCAATTGCTGTGGGGTCTTTCAATTTGCTTTACCCCACGGGCAGTCCCTGGTGCGTGCACAGTACTGCAGCTCGCTGGGAATGACTGATGCCCCAGCCCCAAGTCTGGTGAGCCACTTGATTTTAGTTCAAACGTCTCTTTGGAAGCTTTTAGCTCAGGCACACACATGTATTGGTAGCTGCTGGAAATAAAATACATGGACATGAAAGCATGTACAGAAAGCCACGCACCAATAGGTCAAACACAGCCAGGTTCGCCTTGCACCCAGACAGCTGCCTGCTGGACTTCAGAGCACATGAACATACTTGCAAAGGAAAACACTGTCAGGGCCACTCTTTACCCTCTCCCAGCCCAAGTGGGACTTTTTTTCTTGCCATATGTTTGCAGAGCATTCCCATCCCAGCAACAGTTCTCCCAGCATCTTGCCCTATTGTTTAAGTTCTTCATTCTCCTCTCACATTTCTGCAGAGCCCCTGCCCACCAGGGGTATGTCTCCACCTCCAGAGTTGCCTGGAAGATGTCTCTGATCTTTTTGCTACCCCGAGGCCATTAGCTGACCTTTAATTTTGTGTGCACGCAGGCTGGCCATCCTTACCTGCAGGAAAGTCATTAGCCCCGTCCTCAACACACTCAGAAAGTAATTGCCCTCATGGGCTCCTGCCTTGGGCAACCTGTGGTTGCTTGTGAAAAAAAGCCCATGCTCTGGGGTCATCCCTGTGGCAGGGGAGCAGATCTCCAGCGTCACCAGGGGATAAGGGATGGGACATCCTGACCTTCCCATGCAATAGAAAAAGAAAAGGAGAAGGGTTTGGGATGGAGCCAGGGCACCCAGGGCATCTCCAGAAGTCGCAGCAGCTTCCAGCATGGATTGCAAGCAGGAGCCTACAGCCTACAGTAACTCTGTGAGATGTTGTCCAGAGATTGTGGCCATAAGTGACTGACTGTGTCCACAGACAGATGGTGACATCAGAAGGACCAAACAGGGCTGCATGTGTGTCTCCACCACAGGTGATGTGGGATATCAGCAGAGAAGGCCCAATTGCCTGTGAGCTGTAGGCTCAGTGTTGTGGTCACCACGATGAATCAAATCACTGAAGTACTCAGCACTGAGCTGCAAGTGGCCTCAGCACCCTGTAATGCTCCTGGTCCTGGTCCTGCTGGGGGAAGCTGTGCAGCACCTGGGGGCTTGGCTTTCTTGGAGCTGCAAACCTCCTCCGTAGGGATTAGCAGCAGGGGAAGGCGCAGGAAGGACTGGCTTCTTAATGACATTAACAGCAAGAAAATAAGATGCTGGCAGCTTCTCCATCAGCACAGGAAGGGCTGAGAATATCTATCCCAGATGCACACAGACCCTAACAGAGGTTGGTGGCTCTGGAGAGGATGTGGGGACAGGGACATCAGCTGGCCCTGAGCAGCAGGAGAGCATGGGTGCAGCTTGAGGTGCAGACCCTGCCTTGTTGGCAGCTGCTTACAGCCAGCTTTCCCGGGGGCGCTCTGTAACTCTCCCTCTTGGGGACCCAGGTTGCCACCCCCCAAGCCTGGTTTTGTCCCCGTGCCAGCCCTGGCAGCCAGCTCCGGCCAAGCAGTGCCACCCTGTGGCAAACCCACAGCGATGCCCCCTGGCCCCACCCAATGTCCGTGGCATTGCCTCTCCCTGCTGATGGCACCCCCAGACTTGGCCTCCTCTTCCACCCCCCAAGATGTCCCTCTCGACCTGGAGATGCTGAAGTCCGTTGCCAAGTGGCTCCTGGCCTCCAGCAGCAGCAGCCAAAAGTGGGCTCCAGCCCTGCCTGCCCTTCAGCAGCCCTATATGCCAGGGGTTGGCTCCCTGGCACCCTCCAGTACCTCCTCAATATCCAGAGTAATAACACGGGCAATTATTAAATGAGGAGGCAGGGACGCATCATTGTCAGGTAATTATTTCTTATGAAATAGGATTTCCATTCCAGTGCAGTGTCTCAGGCACTTTTCCCCAGCAGTCTCCCAGTGCAGGGGTCAGTGTCATCGCACCCGGTACACAGGTATGGAAACAGGTGGATGAGTGATGCCCTGCATTTGCTCACAGATGGCCATAGGGCTGAAATAGGATCTTTCTGCTGAGCTTTCTAACACTGGGCAGTTTTTATTTGTCCTCTTGAAATGTTCTGGGTGATCCCAGAGCACTGCAGACCCCTAATGCTCAGCAAGTGGGATTCTCACTTTAGGAGCTATGTGCCACCCTCCTGCCAGTGACAGCAAGGGACATCCTGCTCCTGCTCCGTGGGTCAGGGATCTGTGAAAGCACTGAGGTCCTCAAGGTGCACTCCTAAGCACCACAGTCACTGCGACTGTGACTTCTTTTGGAATGGGCACAGAGAGGGACCCAAATCTTGTGTACACCTCTCAGATGCCCACACCTCCCCCTGGTGTGGGGACAGGATGGAATTCCCAAAGCCACCCCCGATGCAGCCCTGATGCCTTCACTCCCTGCCCTCTGCCTGTCCCTGGTGCTCAGGGCAGGAGAGACACGGTGAAAGCAGGAGCATGGACAGCTCTGGGGGACCTGAAAGCAGGGCTGAGGGAGGGGGGGGCTGTGAGTTGGGTCCTTCCAGCCCCACCATACCACTAAAACACAGAAGGAACCCTCTAACAGGACCCAGGCAGCCACATTTCAAACAAATGAGGCAACACCTCTAGCATGTCACCCAGAGATCTTCAGGAACCTGGCCAGATGGGAAAACTTCCCCTGGAACTGCATCTGGGCTTTCTCCAGGAAGGTGCCAGCCCCAGCATCAGTGCCAATCCTCCATCATCACAGTCGCTGCCTTCCTCACGGTGAGTCCCTCTTGACCAGCAGCAGCCAAGGGAGCACGGCCGCCAGCAGGGCCACAGTGAGGATGAGCAGCACGGCCAGAGCGATGGGCGACTGGCAGCACTGCAGCCCCAGGGCCGAGCTGGAGGACATGGTGCTCCGTGTCTCCGCCTGGCTTTCTCTCTGCAGGGAGGAGCAGTCCGTGTCCACCAGTGGCATCCCATACCTGCTGATGACAAAGATATGGGCTCCACGTGCCGGCTCTCCCTGTGCGCCCGTGGGGCTGCACCGCTCCAAGCTCTGCACCGGCATCACAAAGTGGCTGGGCACCACCAGGGCGTTGCTGCTCTCCAGTTTGGTCAGCTGCGATAAGGAGGATGGCGACAGGGGCACTTCCAGAGTCCGCGGGCTGGACGGCCACAGCGCCTTCTTCTTGCTGAGGAAGGTGACGTAGCGGCAGACGGGGCAGATGATGCTGCTCTGGATGTGGCCGTCCAGCTTGGAGGAGAGCAGGCACTTCACCAGGCAGTCGTGGCAGAAGGCGTGCCCGCAGCTGAGCTGGCGATGTGTGTGCTCCAGGGGGTGGAACTTCTCGTAGCAGACGGGGCACTCGGCCGGGGCCCCTTCCTTGCTGGGTGAGATCTCAGCCATCCCTGCTCTGCAGACCACGTGTGCTTCCCAGCTGTGAGCAGGGATACGGGGTGTTATAGGAGTCCCAGTTGCAGTGGTTAGTGTGGGATGTCCCAGCCCAATGGCCGGGTCACTGCTGGAGTGCAGTGTGTGCCTGTTAGTCACAACACTGCCCTGCTGCCTGGTGTGTCCCCTGCGCCAACCTGGGGCATAGAGGGGTGCAGGGACAATGGGGACACCATGGACTCAGAGTCTTGAATCAGCTTGGTCTGAAGCACTTCTTAGGGTAGGGAGCATTCAGGAAGAGAGAAGGGAGAAAGAGAGGAGAGGGAGGTGGAAGAGAAGAAGGAGAAGGAGAAGGAGAAGGAGAAGGAGAAGGAGAAGGAGAAGGAGAAGGAGAAGGAGAAGGAGAAGGAGAAGGAGAAGGAGAAGGAGAAGGAGAAGGAGAAGGAGAAGGAGAAGGAGAAGGAGAAGGAGAAAGGAGGAGGGATGCTCAGTTCCAAGAGTAGATCAGCAGCTGGAGTTCTATGAAGAAGGCAGTTTCTCCAGACAATGCTGTGTTTTCAAATCCAATCTGCACCCCTTTTTGCATGCCATCAGTCACCCTTGATATCCTCACAGCTGTTTCTAGAGGTTTTGCTGCTGGACAAGTGGGCATGGCAGCCCAGTAGCCATCCCCTGCATTGCGATGGCCGCACCAACACGAGGAGCCATCGCTTACAAGAAGAGGGACCCAACTCCCGCTCTGGTTTAGTGATCTGATGCTCCCTACAGAACCAGAGGAGCCCCTCATTCCACACCCCAGAGACCCCTACCTTCTGCAGGACCCCAGGGCAGGGTCCTCTCTATCCAATCCACCGCTGTCCCCAGCGCTGAGCACCGTCCAGGCTGGGAATGGGGTGCCTATATAACAGCAAGGTGGTGGCTGCGCGTTTCATGCAAGCGCGTTGCGTAAAGGCAGGAGCGGGGACAGGGCAGCACCCGGGCTGTGAATGCGGAGGAACCCGTTCAAGTTTTAAAGCCTGAACCCTGCCAGGGAGTGGGTGTGGAGCCGGCATAAGGCGTCAGAGGGCAGGGAGAGGTGGCACAGTGCTGCCTGCTGGCCTCCCTGTAATGAGTTCCCAGGATCAAACAACAGGCTGCAGGCCCCCAAACACAGCAGGGCCCCGTGGCAGGGACAGGCTCAGCTCTGTGCACAACCACACATCTCTGTTCCCCATCCCCACACTGGTCTCATCTCTGTGCTCGCTCCCCTCTGTGTCACCCAGCCCCACACTGCTGGATGGTCAGTCCAAAGAGCAGCATGGCTGTGGACAAACCCAGACAGCACAGCTCTGGTCACTGTCGCCTCCTGCCTGCCTGCAGGCTTCCAGCACCATCTGCTGCTGCAGCTTGTGGGCAGATGGAACCCCTCCACTTGTCCACTTGTGGGTTGGAATCCTGCACAGAGGAGGCTCTCTGTGGCATTACCCCTTGTCTCAGGGTGCTGCCATTCTTCTCTTAACTTCCAGAGCCTTTCAAAAGCTGTTTGCAAGTGGATGGTTCCTGTCACCACATTGGATCCTTTCAGCATCCTCAGCCCAGCTGGTGTCCTCAAGGTAATCAAAAGAGTTCCAAGGAACTCCTGTGTCCTGGGAGGCCTGCATCTCCATCATAGTTTAGGAGAAACTTGGAATTAAGTGGGGATCTCACATGGTGCAGAGATGCTCTATAGAACCACTCCTGGTCCTGTGCTCCTCCAGCCTCAAGAAGATTCCCAGGGATCTCCAGGATCTATGGGGTAAGAAGAGACAGCAAGAGTGTTAAGGCACCTCTGGCACCCAGCATAAAACAGATGGGTCCCCACAGTCACCGCACGGGCAGCAGTGGTGGTTTCGAGCCCTGGCAGGCGTGGGCAGTGGTATCGCCACCCGTGGGTGCAGCAGTTACATCACAGGGTTGGTTTCTGAATGAAAAAGGGTGGGTGCAAACTTACCAGGCCATCCCATGCTGTGGGGCAGCTGCCAAAATGCAGAGAGCACCTCGTGTGGGGTTGGTACCCTTCATACCTCTTATGCCATGAAATCCCACCATAAGGAGATCCGGAGCTGCTCCTCTGCTCCACATCCACTCCTCTCACTATCCTGTTTTTCATGGTGCGAGCATAAATTGAAGTTGAGAACTCTCTGGGCTGACCCAGGGCTGAGGTCTTACCATCACCTTTGGGTGCACATTCCCATTTGTGACTGATCGCTTCCCCAGGTCCTCAGTGCTGGAGAAGTTACCTGGGCCAGCACAGGCAGGTCTGGGGCACTGGGCATCTCCCCACCTTCAGCTCTCAGCTGGCACCGGGCGGGGTGGAAATTCCTGTTTCCCATAGTTTGGATGCTCTCCATTGTCGGAAACTATGAGCTCACTGTTCTATACATAGGCACTGAGAAAACAAGTCTGCTTCCCTCTGCAGCTCTGCTCTGCCCATGCTAAAATCAAAGGGGTTCTGGTGTCATCAGTTTTGCTCTTTCCCATGCATGACTTTTCCTGGTGCCTTTGCCCCAATTCCATACGTGGCTGCATCTCTCCCGGGTGGCAGTCGAGTCTGACAGTACCAGAAAGGTGAGACCAGGTTCAGGGGCAGAGCCAGGTCCTTCTCCAAGTGAGGAGGTGGAGGAGGTAGAAATGGGAGCTCCTCTCCCATGCTTACAGCTGAGACCTGCTCTGCTCAGGGTCAGTGGCTCCAGCCCTGGGGGAGAGCACAGCCCTGGGTCCCCTCCCTATACAGGGAGTTCAGCCATCAGCCAGGAGAACCCTTCAGTTGGAGAAGCTCTCAAAGGCAGAAGAAGGGATCATGGTGCCCTTATCTATGCTTGGCAGCCAATGTTGGAGGTTTTACTCAACTTTTTACTGTGAGAAGGTTTGTGGCTCATATTCAGCTCCTCACCTGCAGATCCAAGGGCTTACAGGCACTTCTGCTCATGCCGTTCCCTTTCTACCTCTTTCCAGTTTGGAAACCTTGAGTAGCTGGCATTGGTGAGAAGGAGGTAAAGGTAAGAGGGGAAAAATAAATCTGTTTAACCTCATCCCTGAGAAGATGTTCAGCGGAGCTCAGTGACTTTGCCAGGGATGCTCCATGGTTTTGTTTTTTTTTTTTTGTTTAAATAAAATCCCATGTCTGGAAAAGATGCACAAGCTGGAGGGCACGCAATCCCCGAGGGAGCCTGGGCGGCCCCAGGTTTGCCCGTCTCCTCCCATGTTTGTTTTGTATGACTTCAGAACGGGAAATCGGTGTTATTTTCCTTCTGGGTAACTCCATACCGTCCGTCTGCTCCGTGCTTTTTGCCTTGCCCAGGAGGTGGTGCTCTCGGATGGGCTTTGAGTGCCCAAAAGAAACAAAGTGCCCATGGTGCACTGAACGACCGCAGAGCCTTCATTCCCAGAGCTGCCATGGTCTGGAAGGTGCTGTCGCCACAGGGAGGCTGCCCATGGGGGGGGATAGAAGGGATGTGAGCCATCCTCCTGCAGATGCCGAGGGTCTGGTATTTCGATGTGAGAGCTCCAAGGGATGGAGGCTGGAATATCTCCCAGACCCTCGCTGGTTGCTGTTTTTCCACCACGGTGGGGATGTGCTGAGCAGATCCTGCCTGCTTTGCTCAGGGACCTGCAGTACTTGGGCACACAGCTCAGGGCTGCCTGTCTGCTGCTCAGAAATGCCTCTGAGCCTGGTGCTGTCTCTCAGGACCTTATTCTGACACCAAATATTGGGCTTCTGTTCCACCCAGAATCACAGAATCACAGAATGGCCTGGGTTGGAAGGGACCTCAAGGACCATGAATTTCCAACCCCTGCCACATGCAGGGTCACCAACCTCCACATTTGATACCAGATCAGGCTGCTCAGGGCCCCATCCAACCTGGCCTTGGACACCTGTAGGGACGGGGCATCCACAGCCTCTCTGGGCAGCTGTTCCAGCACCTCACTACTCTTATAGTAAAGAAAGAGTTCAACACTCAACTCCTATGGAGCTGCACAGCCCTATGGTTTTTACCTGGGTGGTATCCAAGGGCTCCTTCAAGGCTTATTTGCCCAGAGATTCCCTCCACCACAGGAGTAGTGCCACAAGCAGGGCTGGGGCAACCCAATGCAATCAGGGAGTCATAGAACCATAGGGGCTGGAAGGGACCCCTGGAGATCCAACCACCCCTAAAGCAGGTTCTCTAGAGCACATTACACAGGACAGCATTCAGGCTGCTCCTTCCAGCTTCATGCCATCAGCAAACTTGTTGAGAGTACATTCTATCCCTTCACTGATGAAGATATTAAGTTCATACCGACTGCTGAAGACAGCGAGCAATGCCACGGCAGCACAGACCCTGCCTTCAGTCCCTAAACATAAAACAGCCCCAATCCTGTGGTTGTAGGGCAAGGCTGTGCCAGCTCCCACCTCATGGCTGGATTCAGCCCTCGGCTTCCACAGATACAAGCTATGCCTCAAATCCAGCAGCAAATAGGATGAGTTTCATCACTGGTACTGTACACAGACACACATCCCATCCTGAGATGGTTCCGGGGAGGGGGTGCTGCCATGGTGCTAATCTACATCATGTGAGCAATGGAGAAACAATGAGGCTTTGGAGAGAGCAGGCAGATGCTGGGGGAGAAGAAGGCCTCTATTGAGGCAGGCTGGCAGCTGCCTCCAGGGCACAAGGGTTTGGGGTTCTGCAAGTGCAAGGATGAGCAGATCCTTCCTCAGAATGGGGCTGGGGTCGGGAGAAACATGTTGAGCCTATCAAATCATAGCGGCCAGCAAAGATGAATTTTCCCCTCGCTGCTGTGGTCTGGGATTAAATGGCACCACTGGAGGAGTTTAGGATGCGGACGGGGTTGGTACCCTCATCCCGTGCATGCTGGCTGCCAGCAGAGGGAGTAGCGGGTGTCCTTGGAGGGCTCAGGGAGGGGACAAGGTGCTGGGGACACTGCAACGTGAGCTGGAAAAGCTGCCAGGGCTTGTGGTCCTGCACCAAAAGGAGTTACTGCATGAGGTTTTGGCTGCCTGGTTGTGTGGCAGGTTGAGATTTTCCTCCAAGCCCCAGCTGAGGGGCAGCTCAACAGGAATCAGAACAGCCTCCCGGTGAATCTGCAGCACACATCTTGCAGCAGGACAGGAAGAAAAGACTCAATAAAAGGAAAACTGAACTCTAACATACGATGGTGTTCGTTCAGGCTGTGCTTTCAGAAGGCATACAGAGGTGCACCTTCTTTCAGGAATTGCTGGCAGTCTGTCAAACACAACAATTTGGTAAATATTGCCTAGGCACTGAAGGCAGCACTGAAATTAGTAAAAATAGCAACTTTTATTGAAAAGAAGACTCTGTGTGGATGTATACAACCAGCTTGAGGCAGGGAGGTGTTGGATAAAGGGAGGATTGATTACGTGGCTCAGTCACTGAGCACAACAGAGGCTTCATTGCCTTTGTGCTGCAAGAAAATCCCTGTTAGCTTCAGACCTTTACCTGGCCCCAAATCCACCCAGGGCCATGGATCTCCCACTTCTATCACCCGGGGACCCCATCTTCTAAAGCCCTCCTAGACCACAGCATCTCCACACACCTTCAATACCACCTTCATGATGTCCTTCACACACCCACAGTCTTGCAGCCTCCCAGCTCCACTCTTCCATACATCCTTCCCAGTCCCAACCCATCCCACCCTACATCCCTCCCAACCCTATCTCTCCCTGTACCTCTCCCAGCCCCATCCTTCCCAGTATATCCCCTCATTCCCTTCCCAGACCCAGACCCATTCCCTTCCTAAAACCATCCCTCCCAGTCCATGCATTTCCACCAGTGCCAGCCCACAGCCCCAGATCTGATGCTCCACTCCATCCCCCATGAGAGCCACCCCTTGCCAGCCTGGTGCCCAAATCCATTTGGTGATGGCTTCAAACAACCACAATTCACCTCACTGAGTTGCAAGAATGAAACACTGCTGCTGTTAGGGCAGCGTTTGGAATGAGGGGGGGGGAGCACAGTCTGGGTGCAATGAACTGATGGATCTCAGGTCATGGGTAAATATTCTCAGCTCCACAAGCAGGTCTCTCTAGTGCCACCCGGCACAGAGCAGGGCAGGCACCTCATCCTGGCTTTCCCTTTTCCCAAAGCCTCCATTACCTTAAGGGTCTGCAGAACCCAGCCACCCCAGGCTGCTTTGGCTGCTTAAGGAAAAGGAGAACAGGATCAATGTTTGTGGCACCAAGAAGAAACAGGGGGGATGCTGACAACCCCACGTGTCCCACTGGGGATGTGTCCCTGCTATGGCTGAGCTGCCCTCAGATCTGCCCCCTCAGCTCCTCTGCCTGGGTGCTGCTGTCTGGAAAAAGCAGAGAAGTGGAGAGCTACTTGGTCCCAGGCTCTCCTCCAGGGCGAAGACAAAGGGGAGAATCCCTGCTGTGTCCCAGGGGTACTTCTCCCCTCTCAGAGAAGGAAGGAAGGAAATGCGTGGCAAAAGATGCGCTGTGCCCAGCTACCCCTGGAGAATGGGTGGCACCCAACCAAGCCCAGAGCACAAGGATGAGCACCCAGCCTGCTCTTAGGATAAATGATGGGAACCCAGCCTGCATCAAACCCTTCCCAGCCCACAAACAACTCCCAGGGGGTTCTCACCCCTCCCTCCCCCCTTGCACTGCACCACTGGGGACTGCACCCACCTCTGGGTCCCCCTGAGCAGTGACACAGCCCCCACGAGCTCCCATCCCACCCCACTCATCCCATGCCACAATGACCTCCCACAGGACATCCCCGGACCGTGGGACAGCCCCGGCTGCCTCCTCCCCCCCGTGAGAGCCCCCCTTTGCTGCAGCACATCACGTCTCTCTTTTCTCTCCGCAGCCTTTCAGCTGAGGGGCTTTTTGCTGGCGAAACACAAATCTGGCGGCGGCCACGGCTGCTTTGTGCGGCCGCTAATGCTAAATGACTGCTCCTTTGTGCGGCCGCAATGCCCGGCCCCTGGGCGAGCGCCTGGGAACGGCTCCAGCGTACAATGGGGTGCAGCCGGGAACCACCTCAAAGCAAACATTGACTTAAAAATTGGTGTTAACCAGGCAGGCACGTCAGATGTCTTGGGAAACACAGCCCTGCCGCTGCTGCTTTGTTGGTGGATGCACAGCCCCACCGGGACGAGTGTTGTAAAGAGGGTTTGATGCATTGAGAGAGCTGCACCGAGAGGGTGAAGGACCGTGATCAGACAGTGTGGTATTTCTACATGGCTCTATCAGCACAGGGAGAAAAGATGGGCACCAGTTTGCTCCAGAGCTCCATGATGGGCAGCCAACCTCCTCCACAAGGAGGGCTCCCAACCCGCTCAGTGTGCTGGTAGACGCCCAATCTTCTCCAGATGGGCACTCTGCTCCAGAGCAGAATGATGGGCAAGAAACCTCCTCCAGAACATAAGGTCAGGTACCCAACCTGCTCCAAAGCTGAGGAGTAAGCACCCATTCTGCTCCAAAGCATCACAGCCATGCAGCCTGACTGAAAGAACAAGGATGGGCATGCAACCTGCACCAGAGCTCAATGGTGGGCACCCAATCTGCACCACAGAATCACAGTGGGCATGCAACCTGCTCCAGAGTTGAGTGGTGAGCACACAACCTGTGCAAGAGCACCATGGTGGACACCCAATCTGCTGCAGAGAGTGATAGGTATGCAAGCAGATCCAGACAGGAACGGCGGGCACCAAACTTGCCGCAGGACACAATGGTGGGCACACACCTGGCTCAAGGGCTCTGTGATGGGCACTCGATCTGCCCAAAGCCTCTGGCTGCTCCCTGCTTGTGGCAGAACAGGGCTGGCAGTTATATGCTTCCATCTCCCTCTGCCTTCAAAAGGGGTTTCAGAGAGCCAAGAGGATCCAGCATCCAAGCAAAGGCAGGAGTTGGATGGGAGGCACCACAGGCAGCACCTGCATCACCCAGGTGCAGGTTGGTACAGGAAATTTGCACAAGCACAAATGGGGACTGGGCTCAGCCTCCAGGAGGGCTGGAGCTTCTCCTACACAGACAGGCTGAGGGAGCTGGGGATGTTCAATATGGAGGAGGGAAGGCTCCAGGGAAACCTCATTGTGGCCTTCCAGTACTTAAAAGAGCTGATAAAGAAGAGAGAGAATGACATTTTACATGGGCAGATAGTGACAAGAGGGAATGGCTTTAAAGGGGAAAATTTAGGTCAGATGTGATTTGCAAGTTCCTTACTCAGTGGCGGTGAGATCCTGGCACTGCTGGCCAGAGCTGTGCCCATCCTTGATGTACCCAAGGCCATGGGTTGGATCTGGGCAGCCTGAGCTGAGTGGGCCAGGGGGTTGTGAGGTCCCTTCCAACCCAAGCATGCAGTGGGTCTATGAATCTCTGCTTGCCTGATGGGATACGGCAGCAGAGGGACCATGGGGATGGTTGTGCCACAGCGAGGTGGACTCGATGACCTCATGCTTATGCAGGACATGTCCCACAAAGGGACCCAGACGGCTCCAAGTGCTGCCACACTGCCAGCAGCAATGGCCTCCAGTAAGGGAGGCACGAGGGCCTCCAACACCACATCACCAATGACAGACTGCCCAGCTAATTGCAGAGGGCAGAGAATGCAGATGGAGCTGAAGCTGGGGTTGATGTGAGGCAGCGGAAATTGGTAGTGGGGCAGGTCAGTCTGACCCTATGGAGGCCTGGGGGTACCTGGTGAGGGCTCTGCCTGAGTCCCAGCAGACAGCTGACAGAGCCTGAGGCACTGGGACGGGAAGCGGGACAGAATCACAGAATGATCAGGGTTGGAAGGGATCTCAAGGATCATGAAGCTCCAACCCCCCTGCCGCATGCAGGGCCACCAACCTCCACATTTCATATGAGACCAGGCTGCCAGGGCCCCATCCAACCTGCCAGTGAACACCTCCAGGGATGGACGGGGCATCCACATTCTCTCTGGGCAGCTGTTCCAGCTCCTCACCACTCTCTGTTAAGAACTTCCCCCTGACATCCAACCTAAATCTTCCCTCCCTCCACTTAAAACCATTTCCCTTTGTCCTGCTGTTATCTACCCTTTCAAAGAGTCGACTCCCCTCCTGTCTGTAGGCTCCCTTTAGGTACTGAAGGCTGCAATGAGCTCACCCCGCAGCCTTCTCTTCTCCATGCTGAACAAGCCCAGCTCCCTCAGCCTGTCCTCGTAGGGGAGGTGCTCCAGAACCCTCTTCATGGCTCTCCTCTGGACCCCCTCCAACAGCTCCCTGTCTTTCTTGTCCTGGGGACCCCAGGCCTGGACACAGTACTGCAGCTGGGGCCTCACAAGGCACAGTGGAGTGGGACAATCACCTCCCTGTCCCTGCTGGCCCACTTCCTTGTCTGACGGGGACAATGGCAGGAAGGGAGGCGGGCGGCCCGCTGGGACACGTGGGTCACACTCGGCGTCCGTGAAGAACACCGCGACAGAGCCCAGGGCTGAACCCCACGGGACCGCGTGGGCATCTCGGGATGTGCCGCTGCTCCAAGCCCGCCACAGGTGGGCGGCCCCGGTTCGCGGCCTCAGAGACCGGAAGAGGTCGGCACGTCCCTGCCCTGCCCACGGCCACTTCCGAGTCTAGCAATAGGAAAACCAGGAAACGCAGCAGATCCGCGCCGGTGGGAGCAGCGCACATCCCGGCTCCGACACCACGCACAGAAGCGGCACGGGGGGCGCGGCCACGCTTCATCCCGCCCTTAGACCCGCCCCACGTGACGTCACGACATCGCCCCGCCCACCGTGGTGCCCGGATGAAGCACTTCCGCCGGCGGCGGGCGATGCTGCGGCAGTGACAGGGGATGCGCTCCGGTGAGCAGCGGCCGCGGCGGGTACCGGGGACAAGGGGGGCCGTGGCGGTCAGCAGCCGGTCCGCTGGGTAATGGACATTGAGCGATAGGCGATAAGCGATGGGCAATGGGCATTGAGGGGCTGCGGCCCCGGCTTCTTCCACCTATTGGCTGCAAAGTGACAACGGGGCAGCTCCCGCCCCGTAGCGCATTCTATTGGTCGGCTGCACGGCCCCTCCGCCTCTCATTGGCGGATGCGCCTGCCTGTCTGTTGGCGGCCCGGCTTGGCTCTGCTCGTGCGGCCACCGCCCTATGCGAGCCGCTGCCCCCCCCTCCCCCCCCACCCCGGGCTCCTGAGGTAACGGCGCGCGGTCGGCGCCGTCCGTCCGTCTGTCCGTCTGCAGGAGGCCGCGGGGCGGCACGAGGCGGGCGGGAGGGCGGGCGCGGAGAAGGTCGGGCTGCGGGGCTCGGGCGGGGGGAGCGGGGCTGAGGGCTGCGGGCCGCCCGGCGGCTGTGCGCGGGGCTGGGGCGGGCGACGGGGGGGAGGGCGGCGTTGGGCCCCTACGGGAATCGCTGCCCCGCGGGCGTCTCGGCGGTCTCGTCCCTCCCAGTGCCGCTGGTCGCTTTCCCTGCCGGCCGCAGACGCAGCTCGTGTTCCTCCGTTCCGTTCTTTTCAGCCCTAGGGTTCGCAGTGCTGAGAGCTGGCACGGCCTGCAGTGCTGGCAGGTACGTGACTGGCGGATGGGGGCTTCAGGCGGTGCCAATTAACGCCCGCCCTTAATGACGCTGGTTGCACGGGGCGTGCTGTCACCTTTCTTCGCTCTCACAGCCGCGGCTTGGTTTGCTGCTCTGGCAGAGATGCTGTTTGCTGCTGCCGGGTCTGTCTGTGCCCGGTATTCCACACTGCAGGTTCTGCCCATCTCCCCCTGTGCTCAGCAGGGCTCTGTGCTGCCGTGCCCCATCCCAGCAGGCCCTGCCAGTTTGATGAGTTTGACCCCAATTGCAGCAGACGTGACGTGAGGGATGAGCACACTGACATGAGGCACAGCTCCTGGAGCTGGACTTGCAGCTGAGTGACTTCCCATTAAGATCTCCTGCTGACGAGGATGGCTCTCCTCACCCACGCAGCTCATTGTTCTCCACCCCTGCTTGGTGACTCAGGGCTGCTCTGCTCTTTCTGAAACTCAAAACTCGCTTGACTCAGTGAGGAGTGCAGAGAGGGATTTTTTTGTTTTGTGCCCAAGGAAGTGGGCCAGCAGGGACAGGGAGGTGATTGTCCCTCTCTACTATGCCTCGTGAGGCCCCAGCTGCAGTACTGTGTCCAGGCCTGGGGTCCTCAGGACAAGAAAGACAGGGAGCTGTTGGAGGGGGTCCAGAGGAGAGCCACGAAGATGAAGAGGGTTCTGGAGCACCTCCCCTACAAGGATAGGCTGAGGGAGCTGGGCTTGTTCAGCATGGAGAAGAGAAGGCTGCGGGGTGAGCTCATTGCAGCCTTCAGTACATAAAGGGAGCCTACAGACAGGAGGGGAGTCGACTCTTTGAAAGGGTGGATAACAGCAGGACAAGGGGAAATGGTTTTAAGTGGAGGGAGGGAAGATTTAGGTTGGATGTCAGGGGGAAGTTCTTCACAGAGAGTGGTGAGGAGCTGGAACAGCTGCCCAGAGAGGCTGTGGATGCCCCGTCCATCCCTGGAGGTGCTCACTGGCAGGTTGGATGGGGCCCTGGCAGCCTGGTCTCATATGAAATGTGGAGGTTGGTGGCCCTGCGTGTGGCAGGGGGTTGGAGATTCACGATCCTTGAGGTCCCTTCCCCAACCATGGCAATTCTGTGATTCTGTAGTTAACTGAGTGAAATGGAGTGGAAATGGTCCTTGGATATTTAAGCCAATTTCATTTTGCATTAAAAAAAATTCCAGGATCTCGTGGATGGTAGGTGGCCTTGCCAAAGTCAATTTTTGCTTAGAAATGCATTAGCATCTGTAGTAGTAAGAAATATAGGAAGCTGTTATATTTATTTGTTTGTATTTAAACTTGATGCATCAGACAGTGCACAGACACACTGGCTGGTAGTGCCAGCTAACTGTGAGAGGTGTGGGTTAAGTGGTGTAGTTGACTGTTTTGGTTTGTTCTTTAAATTATTAATCTTGGGTCTGCCTTGGAAGAGCTCCTCTGTCCTCACACACCTCAGCCTGGCTGGGCTGTGGTCAAGCTGCAGAACAGATCCCATATGCTCACCTCTCTGTGCAAAGTTGTTCTGCACGTTTTTGAGAGGTGAAGGTATTTATTGAGAGGAATATGTCACTCAATTCCTCCTCTCCTTTTGGGGTAAAGCCCTGCTTTCTGTGAGCACATGGGGGCTGTAGGCATGAGATAATCCTCAACTGTGGGAAAAGGGGGGGAGAGGGTAAAGAAAAAAGAGAGAAGAGAATCAAGGCTGCTGGTGGCTGTGACGTTGGTGCCACAAGGAGAGTTGTCACCAGAGGGGTGCCTGGGATGGGACTGCCAAAAGCATGGAAACAAAGTGCTTCTTACTCCCTTGGTCTATTAGAGTGAACTTTCATCTTGTGATCCGTGTGCTGAAGTGCCCTAAGGCCTGGCTGCCCTGTGACTCATGAGTGGTGGGTGTTACAAAAGGTTTTCCCCTCCCTGGTACTACTCAATTTGAGGTGATTTAAAGGCAGTTCACGGATCTGAGGAGAAATCTGCATTAAGTGCTTTTCTTTCTAAGTCACTTGTCATTTGCAGCGTCCAGAAGCATCATAGCCCTCTGGCCACAGCCTTCCCGAGGAATTTTTTCATTGGAATGGTATTAATTGCTGAGAAATGTGGAGGCTCCAGGGACCTGCGTGCTGTCTTTTGTCACAGGCTCTTTGCTATGCTTGTCATAAGCTCTCAGATGAAGTCATTGCTCCCGGGCAGGTCGTGCTGCAGTGTTGCAGGGCTTTAAGAGAAAGGTAGCAAGGATTTGGGGTGATAGCTGGGGTGGGCACAGCACGTGGGGCTTTGCAGGTGGCCCTGGATCCTGGCACGTGCCCATGGGCAGGGACCTCCCCTCCATCTCTGCAGGTGCTGGTCCTTGTGCCAACCTCTTCAGGTCTTCGTTTCGAGGATGCTTTGGTGGCGTTGCCTAGGAACAAATAGAGATCTGATTGTGTTGTTTGTGAAAGAAATAAATGATTTTAGTGCTGAATTCTGATGCCTTTGCTAGTCGGGCTGTGCGTGTGGTTGGTTGGGTTTTGCCCCCCGTCAGATACCTTATTTGCTAGGCATGCAAGTCTAGGCCACATGGTACAAAGCATACCTGCTGTATGAGGTTAGTAAGCAGATTCTGCAGGAGACTGTTGAGATAAGGCTGAGCTGTTTGCTCTTGGGTTGTTTTAAGGGCTTTTAGCCTGAACCTGGCACAGAGTTCCTGCAGGTAGGGTTTGCTTACCTTCTGCCTGCTGTGCTGTGCTCACGGGAGGAGCAGGATTAATTATTATGGATAGTGCTGATGCTGCGTGCTCTAAGACTATTTTTTTCCTGGAAGCTCATAGGCTGCTGTTGCAAGAGGCAAGGAGGCATTTGTTGTGGTTCACCAGGGAACATTCAGTTCAAAAATAGTATTGCAGGAAAAGACAGAGGTTCACTTTCCGAAGCAGCGATGGAAGCAGGCAGCCTTCCAAAACGCGCATGAAAATGCCTCTGGCTCCTATTTCAGGATGAGAAAAACAAGAGCGAGTTGATTGGAGAAATCTAATCCGTGGCTTCTGATTGTTTGTTTGCTTTTGATTGTTTGCTTTCCCTTTGCTAGTAAGTGAAAGACAACACAAATGTGCTCAAATTCACAACCATGCTTTGGCTTGGGGGTTACCTGTCAGGTCTTGTGGGTTGGGGAGGTGCGGAATGGTAGAAAAGGGTTTTCTTTAGGCTTTTGTGTCTGTGAAAGGGTGTAAAACGGGCAGAAGCAAATACTGTGGGTTTGGACAGCCTTGTGCTGGCACTGATCCTGCTCTGCATCACAGCTCAGGATGATGGCAGCGGCCTGGGGCACAGGGAGGACTGCAGCTATGACGTGGCACTTCCCTATTTAGGGGACTGTGACAGCCAGCATCAGTCGTTACATTGAGAACTGAAGGGCAGATGTGACTTTGGCAGGGTCTCTTTACCCAGTCCCATTGCAGGCAGTTTGGTTAATTCCAAAGGTCAGCTGACCTTTGTGTTACCTCCGGTGGTCAGCAAAACACTGCGGCTGTGGCAGTGCCAGCACTGTGACTTGTCACATTTGAGTAACAGTGCTTGGCCTCTTAGTTCTCCACCTTTGCTTCCTGAAAGTATTGGGCAGTCGCAGCTGCGTGTGAGCAGCGCTCAGGATCGCTTTGGATGCAGTGGGTTTGGAGGTGCTTCTGTAGCTCCTGATGTGTCAGCCAGTGGAGCTGGCTTTTGGGAATGGAGCAGGGTGGGTTCTGAGCTGTGGGAGGGCTGGCTGGGAGTCTGAGCTTCTAAGCATCGTGTTGTGTTTCAGGCTTAGTGTTCTGGTGGGACATTTGATCCAAGCCATCACCCAGCCTCCAGTCACATGGGGAGCCAGGGGAGCTTTTTTTAAGGTTCTCTGTTACGCTTTCTGCTTGTGTTTTAATGGTTCAGCTGAGAGGTGGCTCCATGAAAATAACAGTTTGGCCTCGGGTGCAAGGTTTGTTGAAGCACTCGAGGGGAGTGCTGCTTACCTGTTAGCTTAGTCACTTCTGCTGTGTGTTGGATTCTGACTTCAAGTCTTTCAGTATCTGGAAAATACTGAGTGACCCATGTGCCAGGATGCTTTGGGGAGTGGGAAGCCAGATTAGGGTGTTGTGTACAACCAGATAAGTAAGCAAATAAGAACACCAAAACACGATTCAGTGAAGTTTGTAACCCACAAGCTCCAGTTTTTCAGAGGAATCGCAGTGTGTTCCACTTCTAAGTGCGGAGTCTCTCTGTCCCTGTGTAATGGGGGCTTGAAAGGAGCCGTCGCATTCTGAACATAGCTCTTGTTGTAGAGCTGCTTGGATCTGGAGTTCTGCCCGTGTAACTGAGTTTTCCCAGGGTGCTGCGTGAATGCTGAGCTGTGTTGTAATGAATTCCGAGTGGGCATCGGCATGAGCCTGCTCTCCTTTTCCCTGGAAGACGCTGCTGCATTGTCTTGTCTGTTCCTGAAAGCCCCAGTGTTGTCTGTCAAAGGCCTGATTCTGCAAGTGCCACGTATGCAGAGGAGCTCCTGAATGGGAAGGGCTTGTGCTGGGCTCAGCTCTCACACAATGCCCGAGGCAATGCGCTACAGCGCAGTGCTTTGTGTCCGACTGCTGGCATCCCGTGGGCACCGCCGTCCCACTGTCAGATGTTGGAGTTGTGTGTTAGGTTCTGTTAACGCCGCGGAGCTGCTTTTTGCTGGGCGTTTGGATAGGTCTGGTTTTCTGTACCGTGAGTGGGGGGAATGGGCAAAGGCTGGCAGAAGGGAGAGGTGCAGGTTGGGAGCTGCCTGTGTCTCTTAAAGCAGTCTTACGGCTCAGAGCCACTGTGTATAGTGTGAGTGTGCTCTCCTCTTTCTCTTGTCCTCCAGGCGTGGGGGATAAATGATAAAAGTTTGTTTGCACAAATGCTTAGCTAGCATGTTGGCACGAGCTTCTGATGGGGGTGTTTCTGTAGTGCAGTTGGCAGATCAAAACCCAGTGCTGGCAGCATTGGGTGCGATGGAAAGCATGGAGTGTGGGGAGCTGAGAGCTGTTGCTGCGTAGCGAGATGGACGAGGCTGGGGACTGGCTGTGGCAGGTCGGCTCCGTCCCACGAGGAGACCTGGGGGCTGCTTTGGAGGAAGAGTGATTGCTGCTGCTTGCAGGGCTCCTGGGGCGTTGGTACAAGGGTGTGCCTTGTGCAAGCAGACAGGAAGGAGTCGTGGACCCAGGCGCACGTTATCGTGCTGCTTCTAGGAAATGATGTAAGGTACTTCCTCGTACTGACTTTTCTCTGAATTCAGCGGTGGGTGGTTCCCTGGTTGTTTACCTTTAGGCACAGCTGTGGGAGCTGACCCTGTTCAATGATATGCTTCGTTTAATGAGGGGAAAATGTGCTTCTGGCTGACCCGAGAGTGCCAGCTGAGAGCCACGAGACTGAAGACTTCTGAAGTGGTTTCAGTGTGATTGGTGTGGGACTGATGTTATGGACACACGCAGCAGTAACCTCACCTCTTCCTCAACCCACAGATCTGCATAGCAATTCAGGAGCTGGCCTGAGCCACAGCAGATGTCTGCCTGCCTTGATGCATCAGGCTGTGAGACAGTGGCAGCTCAGGAGGTGATTCATGGGCTCTGCATCCACTGCAGACACAGGATTTGATTCGTTCCTGCTTGTCATTAAACTGCCTCGGTAACAGGTGCAGTAACTGAGGCACATACACCCAAAGTAACTTGCATCTAATGAGGAGCAGCAGGACTGAAAATACATGTGCTGGGAGGAATGGTAGTGCCTCCCATGTTTTACTCTCTCAGTTCAGGGCTGTATAGGAAAGGAGGCACGGTCAGTTGGCTCAGGCAGCATGAAGGCCTGGTGCATGGCAGACTGCTGCTGCAGCACAGCTGTGAGTTAGGTAAACAGGGAGAGAGTTGAGGCTTTTTGGGTGTACTGAGCACCCTGTGGGTAAGGTTGGTTCTGTGCCCTGCGTTGTGGCAGCTGCAGAGCAGTGTGCCAGTTCAGCCCTGCCTTTGGGTGAGCCAAGCACCAGCCTCTGGGATGGGCTGCTGTGCCTGCTGATGGGAGCTCTGCTGTTGTTTTGTGCCACTTCTGGGTGTCTCACATGTGGGTCACTGAGATGCAGGACATGTCAGTGTGACAATTTCAGGCCTGGAGGGACAGCATCGGCTATTGACTGTCAGAATGTGAAAGTCAGGACTTGTAGGTCAGCTGCAGTGGTTAATCCGCTGCGATGAGCTTGGTACAAACACTGTTTAAAGGCTCTGCAATAGAGGTTAGTTTCAGCTTATTCTTTTCTGGAGATTTATGATCAATTTTAAGTTTTGTTTTTTGGAGAGAAAAGAAAAAAAAAAAATATGGCTGCCTGTGAGCAAGAAGGTTGAGGGGAGCTTGAAAATGACACAGTGCTGCCTGGGGCTGGGAGCTGGGCCTGGCTGAGTGCATCCCTGGGTACTGCAGTGTGTGCAGGTCCAGCACCACTGCTTTGTTCTCATCGTCATCTTCAGCCGTGTCTGAGGCCTGGTGTGTGGGGAGCTCTCTGTGCAGCCATGGCAGACAGTGTTGCAGTGTGCACTATAGGAAGAGCCTTTTACAAATCAAAGTGGAAACTGTGATAGCTGTAAATTCTTACCAGTGGTGGTCCTAAATGTGCCAGTGGCATTAACTGCTGCTTCGGTGGTCAGTAAAGGATACAGCCCAGATTTCTGGTTTTGTTTCAGGCTGCGTGAGCATTTCCAGAGGTTGCAGAGCATGGCGTTACTTGTTGCAGCTGGTCTTTGCTCAGAGGTGGCTGTTAGGGATCATTAACACTCACAGGCCAGTCTCAAGTCTGCAGGGCACAGCACTGAAGTACAGCAGCAGTGGGGAGGTTTGCTCTGCCTGCCTCATCATACTAAAATTGTTTTCTTTCGTGTGCATCCTACAGGTCATATTGAACATGGACAGTGAGGAAATTCCGACCTTCTCAAGTCCAAAGGAGGAAACTGCCTATTGGAAAGAGCTTTCCTTGAAGTACAAACAAAGGTACTGTTGTATATTTTCAGAGTGGATTTGGTTCTTGGTGACTGAGGATGTGGCTTAGTCTGTTTCTCTGTGAGACTTTACCAAAATGTATTAAAATGACTCTCTGCATTTCCAGTTTAGGTGCAGCTTTTAAATCCAGCCTTGTGGAGGCTAAGTATTTCATTCCCTGTGTTACCATGCCATGAACTCAAGACTGAGCAAGTTAGAGCAAGAGAAGAGCCCTTTTATGATAATGTGCATCTTTGTATAATTAAAGTGATGTCTTAAGTAGTAGCTTGATGTTTTGCAGTAAGAAGACTGCCTGTGGGCTTGCCTGGCATCATTACTGTTCCCCTGGGCTTCTTGCACTTGGTCTGAGAAGTTTCTGATTTGGTAGCTGGGTGCAATATATTGAAGCGTGTTTGTTATACCTCTTAGTCCTGCCTGTGTTTGCCTCTGCTGTCTTTTAAGGGGAGCAGAAGGCTTTTTGGTTACAAAAAGTGGCAGGAGAGCTTGTTGTCTTCAGTGCTGCTTGTGGTTTGGGGTGGTTGTTGATTTTTGTTTGTTTGTTTGTTGTGGGGGAGGGGAGTCAGCACTGGAGGTTTCCAGCTCGTACATTTCAGAAAGCTTTTCTTGCACTCTGTGTTACTGGTGTGCAGTAGAAGCAAAGCCAGCCTAAGGAGCCCAGTGTGCAAGCTGTTTTTTGTTTGGGTCTGTCTTCTGGGTGTAGGGGGGCAGGGTGTGGGCATTTGAGATCCTTGAGCTGTGTGAAGAAAGTCTGTCAGGAAGGTCTCACTGGTGCCAATCGAGATGTAGGTTCCTAAAGCCAACTCTGCCGGTTGCAAAGAGCTGCTACATATGGTAAAGATGAAAATGTAATTAGTGAAGTATGTGGAGTTGCTGCTACAAGTCATTTAATACCTTGCAGTGGTGTAAGGAGGGTAGGTGCTGGCTTCCTACCAAAGCACTTAGCAACACTGAGATTCAAACCTGAATGCTTTCCAGCACACTTCTATTTGCAGGTAGTGATGCAGTGATTGTTCTGTGCTGGTTTTTGCCTGAAGCAGGTTAAAAGCTTTATGTCGTGACTCTCTCAAGTCTGCTAGAGTGAAGTCTAGTGGGGTACAGACTAGCAGGAATCCTGGAAATAGCCTTGCTATAGGTTGTATTTGCATGTGCGTTTAATGGAGTTATTTGGTATAAAGGGGTGAATTTCTATTAGTAGGTAAACAATGCAATTGCTCTGTTTCCCCCATTTTTTATTTTCCCTGCAGAGGTCTGTGGTTAAGCACTTTAAAACTCTTGTTGCCTTTTCATCTAATTATTTCTGAAGAGCAGTGAACTTTGTGCTTGAGAGATGCTGCCTTTTGAGCTGATGAAATCTCCTTCCAGCTTCCAGGAAGCTCGTGAAGAACTGGCTGAATTTCAGGAGGGAAGCAGGGAACTAGAAGCTGAGTTGGAAGCGCAGCTAGTGCAGGCTGAGCAGAGGAATAGAGATTTACAAGCAGATAACCAAAGGCTGAAATATGAAGTGGAAACATTGAAGGTAGGTCTCATTGTAACTTCTTCCTTCAGATATGTCGTGGGTGTCATTTCAGGCTGTCTGCTCTGTTCTGGGTCACTGGAGATCTAAACGACGTAAAGGAATCATCTGCTTAAGCTCTACTCTTGGGCATGGCATGTACTCCAAATAAGGCCAGCAGCACACCAGAGAAATTTCTCAAGGACTTTTTCTTGTTCACGTCATTAAACACTTGTCATTGAGTTTGTGCTTGTTTGTTTGAAATCTTTAGGCTTCGCCAAGTGGTGCTTTGTTGTGTACACAGGCAGCATCACATAGCAACAGGGAGGACAACACAAGTTTGTTTTGTCAGACCATGATTTCGTCCTCTTTCTGGACTGTTTTTTTGTTTTTTTCCCCAGAATTTCTCCTTGGTCTTTTGGCACCCTACTGAAATGTGACAGTGGGTGATTGGTGACATCTTTTGGGGGGATTCTCCTAATTTTTTCTTGATAGCCATATCTGTGGGGACAGGGACTGCATAAAGATCTGTTTGTGTACAGAAAGGGAATTTTAGTTAGTGTCTGTCCATTAAGGAGTTCTTGCCTCTCTTGGGGTCCTGAAAAGTACTTGTTTGGGTGATCTTGGATTATTTTATGAAAGCAAGGGTTGGGATCTTACCCAATAGAAGTGATATTTTGAGAATTTCTTGTTCACATATCCAGTCCTAGTTATGTCTGTAAGGCTGGTACCTATTCTTTTAAGGTCAGTAGTTTTTCCATAAGCCCCTGTCTGTACCCTTAGAGCAGGTGAGAGCATGTTTTGGAATTCATCTTCCAGTCTTTCAAAGATAAGTTTGTGAACTTGGAGATGTCCAGTAACAGATTGCAGTGGCTCTGATTTTCAGCAGTGGAGATGTCAGATGAGTTCTTGTGACAGTGTGGCCTTTGGAAGGGGAGGGAGGCACTGAAGGGGAGGCTGTGCAGTTTGATTTCTCTCTTGTTTTCTAGATGTGTGAGGCTTTAGAGCAGCTGAACAGCCAGCTGTGTCGTTACAAGCAGTCAGTGCACAGGGCAGCGTGTGTAATCGCATCCTCTGTTCCTTGCTGATGTTCTGAGTTCCCCCTGCCTGTACAGTTCTTGCCTTGCAGTCCCAGATGTGCAGGCCGCAGTTAGCGTGCTGCTTCGTGGATGCTGCTGATACTTCCCTCTCTACGCCTCTCTCTTTCAGGAGAAACTGGAGCACCAGTATGCACAGAGCTACAAGCAGGTGTCGTTGTTAGAGGATGACCTGAGCCAGACCCGGGCCATTAAAGATCAGCTTCATAAGTATGTCAGGGAGCTGGAGCAGGCCAACGATGACTTGGAGCGTGCCAAGAGGTGAAGGCTGCAAAACTCTTATTTCCTTAAATATTCGCTGGAGCTTGTCTGTGTTATTCAGATTCATCATTTTATTATTCAGATTCATCATTTTATTATTCAGATTCATCATTTTATTATTCCTTTAACGGGGGAGTGGGGGAGGAGAACAAAAACGCACACGTAAAAAATAAGAATTAAAAAAAAAATAATTAAAAAAAAAAATCCTAAGTCACTTGATTCTTTGTAAAGTGCAATTTACCCTTGGAGTTCATCTCCATCAGCTGGTAGTTTTGCGTTACAGAAGAAAAGCTTGTGGGGGGACCCGGGGTGCTTTGTGTTCTTGTGAGCAATGAGCTGTGCAAGCGAGGCCAGTGCTCTAATTTTGATACTGCCAGCCCAGTGACTCTTACGTTTGTGATCCTTGTAGCTCAAAGCCCCTTTGAAGTAGGAAGCTGGTGCTTTACTTGGTCCCTGTTAAATTAAACACGCCAAAGGAGTCTCCTCTTTCCTTGCATAACAGCTTAATGACGGTGGGGAGCAGATGTGGTCTGTGTAAGTGCAGAAAATGAGCAGGCTGCTGCAGGAGACGCCCGTTTTTGGAGTCGATCGTGCTTCCGCTCTGCTGAATGGGAATTTTGCCATTGATTCAGTGGGACCAGGAATGAGCCTCTGGCTATTTGGCAGTGAGATCTGAGAGCTGAGGCCTTGTTTCCACAGCACTCTTAACCTCATGACTAACTTTTGACACACATAAGTTGTCTCACTGATATCACTGGACAAGCATTCCAGTGCCCTTCTTTCTGTGAGCTGCTGCCTGTTTCTCCAGAGCTGACACACGAAATACATGACTTTGGAGAATGACTTGGGAAAAATGGAGCTCGGTGTGCCAGGCTGGCTCTGCCCCAGCTCTTTGGCACATCTTGGAGAGCTAGATGCTATCATGTTCTTTTCATCTCACTCTCTTCTTTGGAGCTCTAGTCCTTCCTAAGAAGCATTTTCATAGCTTTCAAGTAACTATCTTGAATGTAGGTCCTGCTAACATTTTTCCTCTATTATGTATTTGAATACACTTTTAAGTTAGCTGAGCTTCATCTATTAATCTAATCAATCTAATCTAATCTATCAATCTAATATTCTGGATTTTGTTTCTAGGGCAACAATAGTTTCATTGGAAGACTTTGAGCAAAGGCTGAACCAGGCGATAGAGAGAAACGCGTTTCTAGAAAGTGAACTGGATGACAAGGAGTCACTGCTAGTTTCTGTACAGAGATTAAAGGATGAAGCCAGAGGTATGGCTTGCTTGATTAGTTCTGTCTTTGTACATTGCTGGCTTACTAACAGAGACATGAAGCAACCAAAGCTCATGTTTATAGAAAGCCTCACTTAATGAGATTGAAACTGGATGTGTAATATAAGCGTTGGAATTTACCTGCTAATAAACAGTATGTTCTCTGTTCTTTGTGTGTCCACTGAATCTAAGAGGAAAGAATTCCTCACGTTGGGTAAAATTAGTGTCAGATTCTTTCAGGGTTTTTAACCAAGCTGAGTAGAAAAATACTGCTTTCCACAGATTTAATAGAGCTGAAAACTGTGTTCCAGAAGTTTCCTCTCTGTGGCTTTGTGCCACAAGGCACAGGGAAAGTACAGGAAGTGACAGGGAAATGCATGCCAAATGGTAAATAATTATCTTTAAAAATGCTGCCTGCTGTTACCTTCTGAACCTGTTGGAAGTTGCCTGGCTTCTTTAAGGTATGGCAATAAAGACTGTGGTTAGAGCCGTGGCATCAGGGATGCTTCAGATAATCCTCAGAGCTGTAAGAGCTGGGAATTCCCTGAGAGGTTTCATGTTGAGAACGTGGGGGAAACTTTATTTCTATTTTAGTGGTTGGGGAACATGATCGCTCTGATGGAGCAGCGTTAGCATGCCATCACTGCAGGTTAGACATCAGTGTTTTTCAGCATTCTTTCCAAACTATTTCTTTGGAAGCAATTTCTTAGTGAAAGCAAGGACCTAAAAAGGACCTTTTTAGGCTGTGCCTGAAAAGCAAACAAACACAAACAAAAAAAACCAACCATGTAATGTATTAGTGATTTGCCTCTGAGCCCTGCTAGAGACTTCACAGATCCATTGCTAAATTGTGCTGGATGTTCTTTATAGCAAATCTGTGTGGAAATGGGAGGCAGCAAGGTGGTGATACAGAGCAGTCCAGAGAGATAGTGGGAATAAAAAACTGGTTTCCTAATTTCCCTTCTCTTCCTCTGTCATTTGGGCTATGAACCTCTTTAGTCTGCTTGTTCTCATCTTGATGAATCAAGAAACAGCAGACACAACCCCTTCCCAATATCTGGCTAGTGTGCAGTCCTGCAGATGATTAAACTGGAAGGGCAGCGTTGGGAATTAGAAACACAAAATCAGGTCATCGGTCTGTTTCTCTGGCCTCCCAGCTGAGTGCAGTTAGCAGGCATTTGTGAGTGGCTGTGTTCTTCTGCAGCCTGCTTTCCATGGAACTCAAACTACAAGCGGGGAGGAATGTGAGGCCAGGTCACCGGCGCTGCGCTCTGGGTGCGCGCAGCTCTCAGGGCCAGCACTGTGTGGCTGCCTTTCGAGCTCTGCCTTATGTGAGATGGAGGGCTTTGCTGCTGGAGGGAGGCAGCGACAGTGACTCACTGATTACTGCAGAGTTTTCTCTGCAAGAATTCTGTTCTGTGGAATGCTGGAGAAATCTGCCACTGACATGCTGTGTGTTTTGTCTGCGTGCTCAGACCTGCGGCAGGAGCTGGCGGTACGGGAAAGGCAGCAGGAAGTTACCCGCAAGTCTGCGCCCAGCTCTCCAACTCTGGACTGTGAGAAGATGGATTCAGCTGTCCAGGCATCTCTCTCCTTGCCAGCTACGCCTGTTGGAAAAGGATCTGAAAATAGTTTTCCTTCCCCCAAAGGTATAATTCCTGGAAACTGTGCCTGATTGGGTGGGAGTACGTTCTGCTTGTCGAAAAATAACTTCAGACAAGGCCCTTGTTAGTAAACTCAAAGTGAACACAGATACGTGTGGATCCCTACATAACGTGTGCTGAAATACCGGAGCAGTGTCAGACCTATTTAATGAGTGTAATTAGTTAATGCTCTGGGAAAGAAAGGGAGAAGCTTAGCTACTGCTTTGTAGGGGTGAGGATCGTGCTCTGCAGTAGAATACATTTGGAGTTGCAGGGAAATGCAGTGGGTAATATTTCAGCTGAAGTTCCCTGGTGGGTAAATGGTGGGTAGCAGTGCTGGGCTGTCTTTGTTAGCGTGTGCTTGCGGGGTGCTGTGCTGTCAGGCAGTGGGATATTAGCCTAGTCCTCTTCCATCTGGAAGGCTCAAGTCAATCATGAGGATTAAAACAATTTATTTTAAATCAAAGTAGACTCCAGAGAAAGCTCTGGTTGGATTAGATGGATTGCAGGCAGCAGCAATGCAGATGGAGAGTGCGTGAACTCTGCGTGTGTATCTAATGGGCAGGAGGGCAGTGGGCAGGAATTAAGCTTTTTCTCTGTGGCTAGTGATCTGCAGCCTGTGTTACTGTTTGTACAAAGAGTCTGCAGTCAGATCTAAGATTTACCTCCTTACAGGAGTTCTTTAAAATTAAATAGTGGAGGACTGGCACATATATAATGAAGTGTGTTTGTTTGCAGCTATACCAAATGGATTTGGTACAAGCCCTCTTACTCCTTCAGCTAGAATATCTGCACTCAACATCGTGGGGGATCTCTTACGGAAAGTTGGGGTGAGTGCTGCGTACTGAACTGTCCTCAGTTCTGTGCCTTCCCTGAGAGTTCATCCACATGGGGGATGAAGAGGCCTTGGCTCATGCTGAATTAGTGCTGGAGTTTCTAAGGTGTCTCTCTTAAACTGTCCACACTTAGTGTTTGGGATGTGACAACACTTGTTTTTTAATTATCTTGATTTATGGAGCGAGTTGCTAAGGATCTGATGCCAGCTTTTAGAGATGAAATCCGTTTTTGGAATAAAGACTTTCTTGGTGCACGGAGGCTGGGCGTTAGCAGATGCTTGTTCATGTTTCATGTGAAAGCAGGACTCAGCTGAACCTCAGCCTTAGGACCCACTGCACAATTGTGTTATTCATGGGAGGGGAGCTGATAGCAGATGGAGGCTCTGAGGAGATCTGCAGAAGCTACTGAGAACTTAAATGAATAGTTTATAAAAAATAAAATAGCCCTTTGGTAAGAAAGTGGAAGAATAAATCGGGAGAAAGCCGAGTGTTCCCATCTGTAGTTGATTGGGAAGTGAAATGCGAGCCTCTAAAGGGATTACAACTGTGAGCAGGAAAGAAGTGCTTTTGACATCTGTTGTGGTGTTGCTTAGGATGCCAGGCTTTCCAGCTGAATGAAGACACGACTTGTGAGTGGTGAGAAGCTTGTTTGCTTGCCTCCTTGGGCAGCGTTTCGAGTGGAAGCATGGCAGCTTTGGTGTCTAGCCTCCAGGGCTGGCTTTCCTCTGTCCCTTGTGGTTTGCACTAAGAACAGAAATAGCTGACATGAATATGGTTGTTTTAGCCAAATCTGACATTAAAAATCAGATCATTGCTTGTATTTAGAGCTTGTGAGCTCATCAAGCCTGGGTTGAAAGGGCAGCAGGACGGCTCAGGGTTCCAGAGTGGCATGTTTAAAATGGGATCATTGTGAGTAAGAGTCTGTAGGGGATTTAGGGAGCTTAATGACATCCCATGTGATTACTCTGCAAGGACAGGAAATGCCAAATAAGCGTGCTTCTTTCCCAGCCTGTTCTTAAACACACACAGCCAGCGATACAAAATTCCAGCTGATGCATTTACTTAGTAATAATTATAGGATGTGCAGGGTTTCTGTGGGTTGGCTTACCCATTGGGTGCCTCATCCTGTGCCTGGGGCTCCCTTTCTCTCCAAGATGTTCCCCTCAGCTTTCTTGCTGGCATGTGAGACAGCGAGCTACATGGACAGCTCAGTTTTGGTGCCCTCCCTGCTAGGAGTCAGTGGATGAGGCAAGTCTGCTACCTTGTATAGGAGGAAAAGGACTTGTCAGGCTTGCTTGGATGTGGTAGAGATGAGATAGGCTTAGCTGCCTTTGTTTCCCTCTTATGGGAGGTCTGTAGCACCTCTTCTGAAGCTTAGCAGGGAGGATAAAGAAACTGGTGAAGTTTTGCAGGCTGTGATTAGGAAATACCAGAAAAATACTTTCCTGGGGAAAAATGCAACTTTACAAATATGCTGTGCCTCCTGAAATTGGAGGATTCTGCTTTTCTCCTTGAGCTTTTTGGTCAGCTTACACCAGCATCACTCTAACTCTGGAACAGGAGCTTTCAGTTACCACCTCCAGCATCTGACTTCCGTGCTTCAGGTACCTAAATGAGAGTTGATTTCTTGTAAAGTCCTTACCCTAAAGGAGGAGGACTGCACCTGGCAGTCTGCATCAGCATCTCATTACGTGCTTCTGACTGGAGAAAACAACAGCTCTGTTCCCATTTAGCTCATTTTTTGCCCAAGATGGTCACAGTGGGGTTCTGACCGTACTGATTTCTGGTCATGCTAAAGCCTGAACTTGAGCAGCAAAATATTTTCTCTTAAAAAAAAAAAAAAGTAATCCCTCTTCTCCCTCCCCTACCTCTCTTTTCCTTTCACAGGCCTTAGAATCCAAGTTAGCTGCTTGCAGGAATTTTGCAAAGGACCAGGCATCACGGAAATCCTACATTTCAGGGACCGCTAACAGCAGCGCGATGAGCAGCAACGGCACCAAGTTCCCTCATGCAGGGCATACTTCTTTCTTTGACAAAGGGTAAGTCAGCATGTGTTTGTACACTGAGGGGGGTGGATGTTTCAGGATGCTGTATGAAACAGAAGTTTTCCTTGGCTTGTTTTTAGCTTTTGTCCAGTAAGACAAATCTGTGCAGCCAGATTCTCCAGGGGACAGAGGAGCAGCGTTCCACTGCAGGCAAATTTGCTTCACTTTGTTCCACTGCAGGCCTTTGTTTCCACTGTAAAGCAAAGAGAAAAGCAAGTTTTTGATGTCTCAGCTGGTGGGATGTCACTGCCTGCGCTGCCCTCTGCTGCCCCAGCTCTTGGTGGCTGCGTAAACCTTCTGGTGCAGTGACTGTGCCCTTCACAAGGATCTCAAGCAGGCAGTGGTGGGGCTGCCACAGTTGTTGGAGTGCTTGTGTGTGGGGAGTGTCTGAACTGCAGAGCTGCAGGTTCCCTTAGTAAGAGCAGTAAGTGGGCAGCACTGCTTCCTTGGAGAGTGGTTCCCTTTTTGCTCTTCTCCTCCCTGCTATCAGTGAAAAAGCACATGTTGCTAACTGTAATCCTTGCTGATAGAAGGGACAGCTGTCCTGTGCTGTCCTGCTGTGTGTCAGCCATAGTGTTTGAGGCAGCGTTTGCAGGAAAAACCTCCCTGTGACTTGCTCATAGTTGGAGCTTCCTCTCTGGTATGGGGAAGTGGTTCAGCAGGAGGATTTTCCCACAGTCCTTTGTAGCTCAGGGCCCCATGGTTGCATGAGCAGCCCTGAGGAGCAGGGTGCACAGCCAGGCTCTCCTCCTGTGTTACCCAGCAATAGGGAAACCTGTGCTCAATGGCACTGTGCAAAACACCCTCTGTGCTCTCTGCTGGCAATAGTCTTCCCTATTAGACTTCAAGCCAGAGCAGTTTTAACGCTGATATTCAGCACATCCTCTAAACAGCATTTATTGGGAGCTTTAAACAACTTAAAGAGTGCCACACAGAAGCAGACAGGCTGGGTTTCTGGAATCCTCCTTGTAGGAGCTGAATCATGTTGCTATGTGGGTAGCAGGGCATGTTGCATCTTAGAAACTGGCAAGAAGAAGAGCTTTCAGAGCTACTGGTGTTTCTTGCTTTTGGAAAAGGGAGTGTTCACATACTTAGCAAGGTCAGCATCACGTGCAAATGGGGCAGACTGTGAGGTTGGCTGCGTACTGGGAGACTAACCAGGGTCTGTGGTGGTGGCACCGTGGGCTCCATTTCATGTGCAGGCTGTCAGAGCAGTGCTGGGGAGAGATTAGAAGTGTTCTCGGGAGGCAGCATGGCTACAGTGAACTGTGGTATGGTAATAAGCTGATCGCTGCGTGGGATGGGAGTCACTTCTAATTACCTTCTGATTGTCATCACTCTTGCTATCTGGGCTGGCTGCCTGCAGTTCAGGGCAGGCTGTAGCTGGAAAAGGCTTAGAAATGTGTCCCTTTGATAGCGCACTTCCTCAGCAAACTTGAAGGATGCTAACAGACTGGGGAAGTGATGGAGGTGACCAATTTACCTGCACGTTCTTAGAGATCCTTATGCAGTCCCTTCCCTCCCCTCTGAACGCAGATGTGCTGCAGGCCGTGGGATCAACAGCTCACACCTCACCGCTGCCCCGCTCTGCCTCCCTCGTGGCCCAGGGCCGGGTGCAGCGCTGTGCTGCACACACACGTAACCCTGCCTCGCTGTGCGTGAGGGCAGAGCAGAGCCCTGCCACCAGACCTGAGTGCATCACAGCGGTTGGCTGAGCCGAGGTTTTGCCCTTTCTTCTCCCCTCTTCTCCTTTCTCTCCAGCCCCTGTTCTCTCTTCCCTGCCCCAAACTGTCGCTGGAGCCTGAAACAGCCACCCGCGCTCCTAGACCCGGTCCAGTCTGCAGCCGCTGCCTTATGAACGGCCAGTTGTTGGGTGGTGGGATTGTGCCAGAGGTAATCCAGCCATGTCATTACGGTTCCATTTGCTTTCCTTTCTCTGCCTTTTTGTTGCTAAAAGTGTTTGAGCCTCCGTGTCTCATAAAACTCCTGCTCTGTGCTTGCTGAGCAGAGCTAGGCGGGCAGCTGAAGCAGGTGTGGAAGCCAGGATAGGAGCAGTTACCTCAGAATCGTTTGAAGGGAGGTTTGGAGAACAGCTGGGCTTGCACGTGAGCTTTGCAGAAGAATTGGAAGGGTCAGGAATTATCTGCTGTGTTGGGTTTCGTTTTTATTTTGTGCTCTACCAAGTCTGGTATAAGATCACTTTCCTGCAGACTGGTTCCTTTAGGAACGTGGCGGCTCTGTGTGCACCCCCAGGTCTACTGAGCAGCACCTGAGGGGTGTTCTGTGATGGAAATTTGTTCCTTTGCAGTTAGAATTGTTGTTAGCTGTTAGGGACTGCGATCCACTTGGGGAATAAAATGCCTCTGACCTTGATGGGTGCCGCAGAGGCACAACGACAGCTGAGCTGGGACTGCAGCGAGCCAAGATGAGCTGTTTGTTCCTTGGGGCACGAGCTCCTTGCTCACAACTCCCTCAGTCCTCTTCTTTTCTTTGAGCATCAGAGCATTGCAGTTGCTGTTTGTTCTGAGGCAAGTCCTGTGAATCTGCTGGGCTGTGTTTAAAAGTGAGAAGTGCCTCTGCTTGCACGCTGCTGGCAGTGCCACCGTGCGAGCAGCTGTGGTGGCAGTCACTGCACCTAGGATCCCTGTCTGCCCTGCAGAGCATCCTTGTGCAGAGCTCAGGGAGCAGCAGCTGGTGAGGTTCAGTCAAACCCTTTTCCCTGTGGTTTAACTCAGGGTTATGCCCAAGAATGTCTTCACTGTGTGCGTAAACTGTTTCACTTTTTCTCCACTAGGCGTGAAAAGGTGATATTCCCCACCTTGGTCATGGGTAAATGAATTCATTTGCAATGATAAGCTGCATGCATTTTAACTGCGGTGCTTGGAGGTGCAGAGTTGGTGGATATGCTAACTGCATGAGGTAGTTCTCGTAGCACTACAAACTAATAGGCAATGATTGAGGCCTGAGGCTATAATCTTTCTTTCTCTTTGCTTTAGATAAGTTTCTCTGGTGCTGTGACCAGTTCCAGCCGTAAGGTTGAGTGCTGCTTGCTTTTTTGGTTTAATAACTCTTCAAATATATGCATGTTTCTGATGGAGTCGGATGTGACAGAGAGATGGGGTGAAGCATTGCTGCTCTTACCCCAGCTAATCCTGAAGTCAATGTGTCCTCTGCCTTATTTCTTCCTCAGCACTGTGCTGGGTGTTGGCCTGCCTTGGAGGGAGCAGGGATGGCCCTTCCCTGCTGTGCGTGCAGCGGGGGCCAGGCTGGGTTATTGGGCTCCAGGACAGTGTTCTGTTGAGGTTCTGTTTGATGCTCAGAGTTAAGAGAGCCTCAGAGGCTTTGTGCTAAGGAAGAAATACAGCTTGAAATACAGATTAACGAGTAAAGATCCAGTTGGAGCAATCACAGGACAGAGAGCAGCTGGAAATGGGCACAAAGTGTGTGCCGTGGTCAGGACAGCAGTCAGAAACATGCAGCAGGAGCTGCTGCAGGGGGGAATGTTTCCAGCAGGGACTGTTGGCTTGGGATCAGTCTGAGGCGCCGGCCCTGACTCACCATAGAGAGAGCTCTGTAAATCAGAGCTGCTGCTTCATCTTCATTTCTGCACCAGGGGTGAGGCCAGCAGTGTGCAGTGTGTGTCCCCTGCCCTGCTGCACCCCGCTCAGCGATGGCTCCTTCTCCTTTTTGTCCCGAGCTTCGTGAAGCTGTTGGTGTCGCCTGTGGCTCAGTCTGGGCTCTGCCACGTCTGTGTGGCATCTGTGAGGAGGGCCTGACTGCTTCATGGCCTCTGGCCTTGGTTATGTTTCTCTGGGATGCAAAAAGGGCACCTGTGCTGCTGAATGGGCCTCGGAGCAGGAGCTGAAAGGAGTTGAATTCCTTAAAGGTGAAACTCTGCCATTCCTGCCTCGAATGTCTCTTTTCTCTCCCAAAGGAAGCAAACCACTGCTTTTTAATCCCATTTATTTTTTTGTTCTCCCCTGCGCTGCTTGGCAGAGCTGCTCTCTCCCTGATAAGTCATTTGCAGAGTCATGTTGGGACCAGGTCAGCTTCTTGCCCTTTCATTCACGTGGAAATAGCCGAGTGCATCTGCTCTCAGGACTCTTCCAGCAGTGTTTTGCTGCATGGAGGCACCTGCCTCTGAAACACATTGCAGGTCGTGTCTCAGTCAGTTGAAATTTCAGCCTTAACACGAAAGGAGGCAAAGGTTTCCCCCCCACAGCCCCGTGTGGAGTGCAACAGGCTCTGCTGGAGGTGGGGAGGGCTCTGCAGCAGCATTACCATGGGAAGCCAACCTTGCTAGCAGGCATTCAGGTTCTTCACCTGCTCCTCTGGATCAGCGCTGTAATTGCTGGGCACAGGGAGCACGGGGGCAGCAGTCGGGTGGGTGTGCTGTGCTGTTGAGGGGTAACTGCACCTCCTCATCAAGGCTGGGCTGATGGCGAGCTTAGGTGTGCAGAGCTGAATTGAGGAGATCAAAACCCAAACAGGGTGGAGGCTGTGGAAGGCTGTCACACACATGTGCTGCTCCCTGGGCTGTGCGCCTCGCAGCTGAGAGCAGCTGTGGGAAGGGGTGAGCTTGTGGTTTGCAGCTGGGTGAGGCTGTGGGTTCGGGGGCTCAGCAGGGAGGGGTGGGGGAGGCCTGGAGGCCCCGGAGCCCTTCTACAGCCCCAGCTCCGCTGTGCTTTACTGTGTGCTGCCTGTTCTCACTGAGCCCATTCTCCATTGCGCGGTTGCACTGCAGCTGTGTGAGTGTGTGCAGGTGGACGGACGGATGCCTCCACTGTGCTGGGATCAGCCTGTGTTGAGCCTCCAGTTGGGCTGGAGGGGAGCCAGCCCTGCCCGGCTGTGCCCTGAGGGCTGCCCAGAGCCTGCAGGCTGGGAGCAGCTGCTGCTGGGCAGGAGGGAAGGATTGGGGAACGGGCCTGGGGGGCAGCTGAGCTGCCTGTGGCTGTGCCACCCCTGAGGCCGTCGCCCCTCATCCTCTGCGTGGCCCCTGTGCAGTCAGCACAGCGCTGCCCCTGGGTGTGTGTGCGGCAGGGAGGTCTGGGATGGAGGAGCTGGGCTCAGCCCCAGGGTGGGCTGGTACTGACCTGCCTGTCTCTTGTTGCTTCTCAGGGCAGTAAACGGCTTTGATCAAGGGACCCCGGGACTGGGAGCCTCCAGACCTTCCTCAGCACCTGGCATGCTCCCCCTGAGCGTATGAGTCGGCGCCAGGCTGTGCTTGGACTCGCGGACGCTTTTCTCGGCCCAACAAGAGAAGTGCTTTGGTTTCCTCCCCCTCCCTGCCCTGCAGGAACAGGACCTGCACCATGGCTTGCAGCAGTGCCCGTGCTGCTGGAGGAGAGCCCATGCTTGCAGCCTTTCGTGTCCTGTTAATAGAGTTAACTGTAGTGGGTGTGCCCTGCGGCCCGTACCACGTGTTGCACAAGCTGACACATAGTGCTCTGTTGCAGGGGATGCAGAACCTCAGCCAGGTGCTGCTCGACCTGTCACTGCATCTCTTTTCTCAGTTAGGTTTGGTGTGACAAAAACATTTGCCGCTTTTCTTGAAGGCTACGCCTCTCCCTGCCTGATCTCACATCCTGCTGTTTGAGCCAACCAGCTGCTGTCCTTCCCCATGGGGCTCAAACCTCTCCAGACACACTGAGCGAGGCTGGGAGCAGGAGTGGAGGCTGGCAGTGAGCTCTGGGAGTGTGAGTGAATGCAGCGTAGAAATCACTGCTGGACAGGTGAGCAGCTGGCTGTGTCCATAAGGCCCTTCCCCAGCCCAGCAGATGGAGGTAGAGCTGGTGCTGGTGTGGGGCTTTGCTGAGGAAGGCCCAGCACACATCATTTAGCACCAGTGCCCTTAGCAGCTCTGGGCTGAGCTTGGCTGGAGCCTCCTCCCGTGGCACAGGGCCTGCAGCGAGCTTTTTCCCATGTGCCTGAACCATCCCAGCACTCTGCCCTCCTTTGCGGCACTTCTGCTCCCCCAGCCAGACATCAGCTCTTTAGGAAGCCGCTCAGCCCATGGACTGCAGTGCCCACGAACTGCCTCCTCCCAGCACCCTGTATCCTTCGGCCCCATGTTCAGCTCTGTAATATAGGACGGGATTTCAGTGTCACCTGCAGGCTTCTGTGACAGTTTTGGGCGACTGTGTTCCTTGTGGGTCTTTCAGGCGATGTATTTGTGCGAGTTCTCTGTCGCTGTGCCTCAGAGTCGGTGGATTTTGATGTGAACCAACGAACCCCAGGGGGGTCTGAGGAAAAAAACAAACCTTCCCAGTTTGGTCCATCGTGTTCCTTGGCTCTGCAGCTGTAATTGGTTTATTTACGAGCGCTGAGAGAAACCATCGGCCCCAGCATAACAGAGGTGGGAGCGTTTCCCCCTTTGCCCTTAGGGCCCCTATGGTCCTCTTTTCCTGTGCATCCTCTGCTGCATTTGACTGTTTACATTTGTTTTATTGTACATAGGTTTGTAAACATATTATCTTTGCCTAAGATCTTTGTACATAACTTAACTTGGGCTTTGTAGCTTTATTTATTCAAAGTCTATATGGCATGTTTCAGTAGGACAGTGTACCATAACACCGTGGGCACACAGCATAATGTGGTTTAAAGACAAAACAAAAAAAAAACAACCAAAACCTGAGAGTAATATTCCCAAAATAAAGTTCTTTTAATGTGGAATCGGTGGATTTTGCAGAAGAGGCAGCGGTGGCTGTGTTTGTCCTGCAGTGTTTTTGGCTGAGCCGGAGGGCAGGGTGGGAGGCACTGCTCTTCTGTGCAGCTCCTGCCCCTTAGCTTGGCACTGCACACACTGTTGGTGCACGGAGCCAGCGGGGCTGAGCGCACCTCTGCTCCCTGTGCTGTGGGGCAGGAATCTGCTTGGGCTCCTGGTGGAGGTGTCGAACTGCAGGCAATGAGGGGCAGTGCTGGCCGGGCTGCCAGGACCCCACGCACCCCCCCAGAGCTGTGCCTGCTCCAGCGCTGCCCCCAGCAGCAGAGCCCTGTGCTTCCCCAGGTACTCGTGGCCTCCATCCCACTCCTGGGATGGATCACAGCACAGCCTTCCTGCTGCTGCCCTGCAGTGGCAGCCCGTGGAAACGCCTCGTTGGCAGCTGGTGTCGGGACAGAGGTGCGCCTGCATCCATGGCAGCTCCTTCCTGGGGGAGAAGTGCTGGGCGGGAGGAGAGGGGACACCGTGTGGACAGGGCTGCCTTCATTGCGGTCAGTTGGAAAATGCCCTACCAGCAATAACCTGCTCTTGCACAGAGCCTGAGTGGCCACAGTACCACAGGGAGATGGGAGCACAGGCTGTGACACGTGGGGCACAGCACCACCTCTGCAGCACTCAGATCACAGGCGGTGAGGCTTCTTCCTTTGCAGCAGGAGGAGCAGCAGCACAGCTGAGAGCAGCCCGTGAGGAGCAGGGCAGGAGCTGGCAGCAGGGCACCACGTGGACAGAAGCAGCAGCCCGGCTCAATGCGACGCTCACAGCCCACGCTTGGTTGCGGCCCATCTGTGCAGCTCCCACGGCTCCCAGCTGCAGCACTGAGCTCCCAGCTCTGCCACCCCCCCTGCTGCCAGTCCTGGCTGCGGAGGCAACAGGCGCAGCTCTCCCTGCTCCCAGGAGAGGTCAGACCTGACAGCTACAGAACTGGAGCTCGGAGGCGTTTGGAGGCATTGAGATCCCTTTGTGATCCAGAGCTGCACTCCATGGAAGTTGTAAGGCTCAGCCCTCCCCCAACACTTCACGCTGTACTGAGGTAGAAGAGAGCAAAACAGAAAACCAAAACACTAAGAAGGGAGAAGTCAGCTTCCAGCCATATTCTCATTTATTAAGGTCTATGCCAGCCTCAAGAAATAGCTCTTCCTGTAAGTAAACAGAGCAGGCGGCCACAGCTATAATGAATAAATTTATTGTCTTACAAAAATCATTGTCTAGAAATATGGGTATACAAGAAAACAAGATATTTGCAGTCAGATGCCTGGTGGTCAACAGCCAGTTTGATTAAAAATACCCAAACACACAACACAACCTTTGCGACAGATGTTAAAGCTTTTAACCAAAAAAAGGAAATCCGTATCTGTTTGTTGGGCGCGTGGCAGAGGAAGGTTCCTATTAACACTGATTCATCGTCACTAATATCCATAATACCACTTGGACTAGAGAGGTACATGATATGAAGCACAGTCAAAATTAATACATTAAATCATCGTTATATAGGCAAATTATATATGTAACATTGTCTTAGTACTGTAGTGTCTAAGGCACTTTCTGTAATGTCAGTTTTTCAGCTATTTAAACAAAAAGAACGCTAACTACTCGCTGTAATACTGCTCAAAATAAAAAACAACAGCAACAACAACGAAAGAAGGATTCACATCCACTGGCTTGTTAACTGCAGGCAGGCAACACCCTCTGTGCAGCGCTGGCAGCGCGGCCGTGGCACCGTCCTGAAGTTCATAAATTACTGCGCCTGTGCTGATGCTTGTTTTCCACTGGTGTTCACATTGAACTCGCCTTAGTGTATATGTACAGAGCTGGTGGGCATGGAAGAGCAGGATGCTACAGCTGCAAAGTACTGTACAGAGAGGAACGGTGACGCGGTTTGCCTGTACTGCATGACACTAATGGATGAAGCAGGTGCTGAGAACACTCCAAAATGGTTCTGAGGGTTAAAAAATGGACACTACTCACTCATCCCTACGCTTCCCTCTAACGCTTCCCGAGGCTCTTCACAGTTCACTCCCTGATTGTGTGCCGATCACAACAGTTAGGAGAAAAAAAGATGCGGGTGCGGTTTGGTCTTCAACGATCCGAGGGGCCCAGCGCAGCCAGGGCTGCCCGAGCACAGAAGAAATGGAAGGATGTTGTCTGCACAAAGCATGCTGAGCCATGCCAATGGGGCCGTCCCAACCACCTACCCTCTGGGAATGAAGTTTCGTGGGGTTTTTTTAACCGATACAGAAAGTTTCATCCTTCACATGATGCTTTATAAAATGGCTTTACAATGAGTGTCTGGAAAATAGATGCACTGAACAGAGACGATCCCGTTTTGTTACTATATGTAAAAAAAAAAGCAGTTGTACCTATATCTGAAGCGGGGTACAGTATGGTGAGGCTGGAGAGCCTTAAGACATAGTTGACCTACGGTAAGTAACCTTGTAGCATGCCGACATTTTGTAAGGCAGATTTAGGGCCACAAGGCAGCCTGGTGGTCAGGAAAGTCCTCCTCGCTCTGCCCACTGTGGTGTAAAGGTCTCTGCATGCAAACGGTGTGCGGGGCTCTACTCAGCAGGGCTCGGCTGCGCCTCGTTCACGTCGCTGCCTTTGCTCTCCGCGTCGTCGTCCGAGAGCTCCAGGGAGGCCCCTTCGATGTGCAGCTGGCGCCTGCCGGATCGGCTGGAGGAAAAGGTGATGGGGCCGCCCCTCCTGCAAGCATCAAGCAGAGAACAGCCTTTGCATCGTCCTCACGCTGCCCTGACGGCTCCCAGCTGAGCTGCAGGGGCACAACGCTGCCCCAGGTTCCCAGGAGGAGCGTTGGAAGCACTGCTCCCATCACAGGACGCCCACAGACGTTCTGCTGCTCTGCTTATTTCACACCACGCACTGAGCAGGGTGGGTTCTTCAAAAGCAGCTTGCTTAGGAAGCGCTGCACTGCACCCCTCCTGCCACTGCTGGCCCTGCAGCAGCCCACGCTGGCTTTCCTCTTGTCGCCTCCCCTCCTCCAGCCCCGCTCCGTACCGGATACAAATGCTGAGAGCAGAGCTTTGCAATCCAAGTGTGAAAAGCTCCCCTGGAGTCGGCTGGGAGCAACACAATCAGTGCTTGCCACTAGAAGAGCATAACTGAGCCATGTCGCCTCCTGCTGCTGGACTCAGGCACCGGCCCCAGCCAACCCAGGATATACGCTCTGAAGAGCTCTGGCTCAAGAGCCATCAGGAACATCTTCACAGCCAGCAGCTGCCTCAGCACCATCACACCAGGCTCAGGCATCAGCTCCCAGCAGACTCCAGTGCAGCCCATCTCCTAACAGCAACAGCTCTGCTTCCACAGCTCCACAGCTGAGCGGCCCCCAAGGACGCAGCATTACAGACACGGTCAGAGGGCACCCAGATGAAGCCCTGCCAACTCCTGCACCACGTACCTTAACCTGTTTTTCAGGGTGCTGACCTCCCTGCTCAGGCCCTCGTTAGCCTCTGTGGCATCGTCCAGCTCACGCTGCAGTTTACGTCGGGAAGCATTTGCACGTGTGGCTTCCTCCTCAGCCTCCTCCAGCTGACGCTTCAGCTGCTTCATCCTGGCGTTTGCTTTTTCCATCTAAAACACAAAATCAAGTTGTCGGGATCAAACTCAGCAGCTGCAGCCCTGCAGCGTGGAAAGGCAGAGAGGTTCTCCAGCGCCCCAACCACCCCTGCTGGAGACGGAGCCTCAGTGCAGACTCCCATCTGGATTCCTGGGAACAGCCCTCAACTCCTGGGTCTCAGAGATGTGCGTAACACATCATCACAGCAGAGCTATCACAGGGAGCAGGCAAGGAACCACTCCGCCAGTTCAGCTATCGAGACTGGGATTCCCTCACGTCTTCATTAAAAAGCTTCTTAACGATGCCCTTCCACTCAAAGCAGGCTCTTTCCCATCTTTCCCAAGCACAAACTAAGCCCCTCCACCCACCTGCTCCTTGTATTGGTCTGCGTGTCGGCGCTCGTCCTCCACCTGCATGAAGACTTCTTTTAATTTCTTCTCTGTGCGTCGCACCAGTTTGTTTGCAGCTGCTCTTTCCCTGGAAAGGATCAGAAGCCACGTGGAGGCTGTGAGCACCAGCTTTAGAAGCATGCAGTACGAGCACTGAGCAGCAAAGTACCGTCAGAGGGCTGAAAGGAGGCACAGCGATGTGCTTCTACACAGCAAGATTCAACAGAGCAGTGCTAAGCAATGTCATGGTCCTGAGCCAAAAGCCCAAGAGGAATGAAGGTGGGGATAAGACAGCCCACTTTCAATCTTCCTAAGACAAGGCAGGGAAAAAAGAAGTTGGAGGACTGAGATGGAAAGCAGCAGTCTGGAGAAAGACGACTTGTCCACAGCACAAGATTTACTTCAAAGAATGTCTGAGGTGAGGAGGGACCCCTGTAGGCCATCTGCTCCACAGGGCCATCAGAGCTGCTTTTCCATACCCAGCAGCTTTTGAATGCCTCCAAGGAAGAGACCCCACAATCTCTCCACAACTGGTGCTCCGTCACCCCCAGTCAAAAAGTGCTTCCTGATGCTCAGGTGGAACCCTCTGTATTCCAGCCCTGCCCACTGCCTTCTGTCCTGTTCCCAGGCACCACTGACAAGAGCCAGGCTCCATTCTCTGCACCTCTCTGATGGATGTGTGTGCACAGATGGGTGTCCCCAATCCTCCTCCAGGCTCTGCAGTCACAGCTTTAAGCCCTTCCTCACAGGAGAGAAGCTCCAGGTCCTTCAGCATCCCTGTGGCCCTCCTTCCCTTTAAAGCCTAACCCATAGAGACGAGTGTCTCAAGGAGATGTTTGGTCTTAAGAAGCTCCTACTAAAGCAGCTGTGGTTTCTGGGACTGCCAGTCCACACAGTCACAGAATCACAGAATGGCCAGGGTTGGAAGGGACCTCAAGGATCATGAATCTCCAACCCCCTGCCACATGCAGGGCCACCAACCACAATC